AAAAAACAACAACAAAACAACAACAAGATGAGGAGAAGTAAAAAAGAAGAACGAGAAGGAGAAGAATGCAAAATTATCAATTTTTTAGAAATAAATCCAAAGCAGAAAATTTCAAGTAAAACGAATAAGGGTTTTACTGAAAAGCTCATAAATTTTTTAGTTTTGTTGAGCACTTATTTTTTTGATAACCTAAGCATTTGCTTTTTCTAATTTATATATTCATACATATGCTCGCAACAGTCTTATCCAGTATCCGCCTTGAGTTAGCATTTTTGCCTATATATATATATATATATATATATATATATATATATATAATATATATATATATATATATATATATATATATATATATAAACTATATATATATATATATATATATATATATATATATATATTTACTGAGCATCACTAAAGTTTTTTACAAGAAATAAAAATATATTGTAACAAAAATAGGCAACCAGAATTTCAGTGATTAATGATAGAACGTTAAAAAAGCCAAATAAATAAAAAGAAAACAACATTTCTAGCTTTTCAGGTTTTATTGCTGATAAACCATACACACACAGCAAAACACACACTCATGCACACATGGGTATATATATATATATGTCTGTATAGTACATGCAGTATTAATGTCATGAAAATAAGAAGCCCAGTACTCCACAAACTTAATTTTTAAAATTAAAAAAAAAAAGAACAAAATTTTCTAAGTAATCTTAAATTTCTTTTTTAAATACAGCCGTATAACGCAAAATAGACTTAATCATTTTAATTTGTTGCAGCTATATTTCACTGCCTTAAATTATAATATAGTGCTGCACTAGTTGACAAACGCATCTACCGTATCACTGTTACAGTTTTCACCTTGTCATTTTCTACTTTTCTGCCTTACCCGTTCTTTTTTTAATAGTTATAATAATTTTATAAAAATATTTTTCAAATTTAATGTCAAGTTAAGTTAAATTAAAAGGCACTCAAAAATTTTTTCAAAAAGAACCATGATATATAAGTCTTTAAGTGGGCAATCATAATCAGCCGCTGTATGAATATCTGCACCAAAAAAAATTTTGCGAAGAATCCACCATTTTTTAAGTGTTGTATAAAAATTAAAGCTGGTAAAAATGAAGAATAATAATAAGACTTCTGTTGTTTATCAGAAGATAAAATCAGTTGTCAATCTGAATTTGAAGTACAGATTTTAATGAAAAAAAGTAACGAAAAAGTATAATGAAAGTAATTGCAGAACTTACGTATCGTTTTACCTCATGTTGGTCTTGTTATATTATCAGCCGCTTATACCCTTCTTGGAGCAGCTATTTTTCATCATGTAAGTGAACAGTTACAACTTTTTTTGCAACACTTATAAAATTAAAATACACGTAAAAATTTACTTCTAACTGTTAACAGTCGTTTAGTAGCAACTTTGACTAAAACCTTTTAAGTTATACATCTGTTTTATAAATATGCATCTCGTAATTAGACAGTTTTCTTTAAAAGCTAAGAACCTAGAAATTTTGCTGCGGTTTATTCGACCAAACATTTAGTCGTAGCTAAAGATCTTTTCAGATACACATTCAAGCATTATTGTCAAAAATACTGAAATGGTTTTTACTAATCTTTTTTTGAATTGATGTCTTAGTTTAATTGTTAAAAACTTTCAAAACAAACGCAGTCAAATAGACGAACCTTTAATTCGGCAATTCATTTTGTGGAAAGATTTTTAGTTGGAGGTCCCGTCTGAGATTGAAATTCGCAATAGAACATCACAGCAAATTGGTTACTTAAAATTAAAACTAATTGATGAACTAATGGATGTTGTGCGATCTCAGAACGTTTCAACAGATGATATATATGATAAATTTTCAATGATTACCGTTGAAGGGTATTGTTTTAAAACAATTTTTCTTTTCATAGTTTATACTAATTTGTCAAAAGTTTTATGTGAGAAAAAAATGGTCAAAACAGAAATATGTATGCGATTATATATATAAAAAACAAATTTTGCTTTTTCTCTACGTTTATCTTACTAAATTACACAAAAACCTCCCTAAATTGTTTAAGTTTTTCTTTATTAATTTTAGCAAAACAAATTATTGTCAAGTATTAATTCTTTTTAGAATAAATACAATAATTCGTAATGTGTCGGTAGCTTATACAAAAAACTATATGACTGCTGACGATATTATTGAAGGAGATGGACCGATCAAATGGTCTTTCAGTTCTAGTGTATTTTTTTCATGGACAGCAATTACCACCATCGGTAAGTAATATTTTATACAGTGTTTAAAATATCGTTTGTTTAAAAAAAAAATTATCAGCAAATATACTGCAAAAAAAAAAGCATTTTTTTTTTTGAAGGATATGGTCATATTGTACCACGAACTCCCGAAGGACGTGTTGCCTGTCTTTTATATACACTTTTGGGTGTTCCGCTTATTTTAG